AAAAACAAGTTCCCCTCCAACCCAGAAACAAGGGAGGGGTGTGTGGATGGGTTCCAAGTTGAATCCAAGTCTAATTGCTTGTGCAACTTAAGTCCAACTTGACAGCAAGAGTTGAGACTCAGGTCCCCATCCCAGCTAGCATGACCATTAGGCATCCTGGCTGGGGTATTTTTTTAAAAAAGTATCTCCCCCCATCTCTCTATACTTCTACTGGAAGTCTTAACATGAATCAAGTTTTGCAACACTAGATGTAGATGTGTATTTCAGGAGTGGTAGGCTTTGGTGGTGGTATGTGGTGGCGCTGCGGGTTAAACTGCAGAAAGCCTCTGGGCTGCAAGGTCAGAAGATCAGCAGTTTGAATCCATGCGACGGAGTGAGCTCCTGTCGCTTATCCCAACGCCTGCCAACCTAGCAGTTCTAAAGCATGTAAACATGCGAGTATATAAATAGGTACCACCACGGTGGGAAGGTAATGGCATTCCGTGTCTAGTCACGCTGGCCACATGACCACGGAAACTGTCTTTGGACAAACTCTGGTTCCACAGCCTGGAAATGGGGATGAGCACTGCCCCCTAGAGTCAGACATGACTGGACAAATTGTCAAGGGGAACCTTTACCTTTAGGCTTTGGTTACTTAGCATATTTTAGTCTCTTTTGTTTAAAATACTTCTGTGAGAAGTTATTGTAGTTTAGGAAACCATATCTGAAGTAATTTCCCTCTCACATGCTCTATCAGGCATGTAAGGGGTTACCATCTCTTGCAATATACAGTAGTCCCTCTAAGCAATGCAAATCTTTCAGTTTTATGTGCCTGAGATATCAAGCAAGAAAATAAATCTTTATTAATTCCTAATAGACCAATTAAACAATAAAAGCAATCTGCCAATGAGGCAAGCTGGTATTAGAACAAGTAGTTTTCCTCTTAAGATAGTGCTGCTTGTAGACACAGAGTCAGTGCATAGTTTAGTGAGGTTCTAGAGACTAGCCTGAGTTTTCAAACTGTAATCACCATATGGAATTCAGTGTAAGCATTACTTCTTAAATCTCAGGAAAAATCAGGAAAGGGCTGTATGGTCATTGAAACAATACAAATTCAGGAACAAATGATATATTCAACCATTATGAATATAAAACATAAAAAAAACCACAAGAAAAAAAACAAACAGTGAGCTTTCAGTGATAAATCTCCTTCAAGGCTGTGCACTGAAGTTGTTGAATGTTATACCTCAACATTCTAAGATTTCAGACCTCACATTCTCATATAACAAATCATGATTGGGAATGCAGTATGCACTGGTGCAGCTCTTCCTTCCCTCTTAATTTCTTATTCTTTTTGTACACATAGGCCAAAACCCTATTTGTTAGCACAGTAAATCACACTATAATAGGGTCACTAAACTAATAGGGATTTCGACTCCTCCAGAAAATTCAATTGATTCAAATCAGGCTACTCTAACTGTGACTTATTACACTTGTCAGAACTAGAGTAGGCCATTTGAATCAATGGAACTTACAAAGATGTTGACTTACCAAATCCCCATTGATTAAATCGGCCTACTCTTATGTGATTTATTATGCTAAGGTCTTGGTACCAAAGACTCGGACTTGTGACTTGAATCCAAAAACTTGCAAACATCCCTGGGAGTAATTCTGGGAGTTATAGCCCCCAAAAGTAATTTTTCCAATTTTTTGAACTTTGCCACAAACCACGATGCAAATGTCAGTCACTTCTATCATTAACAGCAAAAACTTATCTTCTTAATTCTGATACAAAGAATGGAGAACAGTTCTTCAGTTAGTTACACAAGTACTTCAAAGGGAAGAACACAAAAGGCTTTTAATCATTTTGACTAATTTGACATATTGTCATTTGAATTCAAATGTTTTTGTTGTTTAGTTGTCAAGTTGTGTCCAACTCTTCGTGACCCCATGGACCAGAGCACGCCAGGCCCTCCTGTCTGCCATTGCCTCCCAGAATTTGGTCAAATGAATTCAAATACTTTATAATAAAAGGCAGAGATCTTAGTGTAAGTAACAATTAATGCCATTACTAACAACGTTCCTTTAAGGCTGTCCTTTAAATTGTACCTAGGTCTGTGTTTATGTTTTTATGCATCATTCAACTAACTTATTGTGTATTTGTGTATGGCTGTTAACTTGAACTGGTTCAACCGGTATCTGTACAAATGTTACACTTGCAGAAAGCTGTCATCATTTTCAATTCCTTATAATCATCCTTCCTGCAAGATCATACAAAGAGTTATTGATATGTTGTAATCATTATGGGAAGAGGTACAATGGTGAAACTAAGTTTGGAACTTACATCATAATGTTTACTTGCTTACTTACTTATTGTTTGTTTTATTTCTAGTCCACTTTTCTTCTGGTGAGAGGACCCAAGGTAGTCCATAATGATTAAAAAAGTTAGACTAAAAAGACAATAAATTCCAAAATTTAAAAAAAATCTAAAGATTTAGTAATATTTTAAATAATCCAGATATTTCAGAAATGTAAAAACATACAGTACTTAAAAAGCATCCTATAGTAATCAATCTTAGTTATGAAAGGTGTGCCTAAAGAGGCAGGTCCTTAACTGTTGCCAAAGTAACAAAAACAAGGGGGGCAACCTTACATCCCATGGAGCAGCATTTCACAACCTAGGAGTAACCACAGAGAACATTCTCTCTTGTGTCCCCATCAGTTGTACCTGTGAAGGCAATGGGGCCAATGGGACCATTAGGAAAGTCTCCTCTGAAGATCTTTGGAGCCAGGAAGGCTCATATATGGAGACACAGACTGAATTATGAGTCTTGTTTTAAACTTGGCTATTGTAAGCAGGGATTCTCATTGTGTTGTAGGGTTCAAATTCTTGCTCCGCCATGGAAATTCACTGAGGGAGTGGAACTGGTAAAACTACTCCTTATATATCTCACTAACCTTGAAAGCCCAATTAGGGTTGCTATATGTCAGTTCCAACTTGATGGCACAGAACACACACACACACACACACACAGAGAGAGAAAGCAGGACTGCCATATTTATTTTCAAAGATTGCACAAACAGAAATTCAGTACATGTAACCAGTCTTGGGAGGGAGAATCTTCCTGTTGAACTTCTTTAGTTGTTAAAACTGGGGTGAGCAACATATGACCCATGGACCACTTGTAGCCCCAGAACTATTTTTGTAACCCTCAATAAACCCTGAGTCCTCTGTTCCTCTCAAACTAATTTATCTGAAAAAGATTCCTGAAAAATCACTGTGCCTCTGGCGGGGGGGGGGGGGAGGAGAGAATTTTGACATGTTTTGAAGGTGCCCCAGCACTTCATAGCCTACTTGTTTTAAATGTTTGACCACTAGAGGGCACAAGGATGTTTTTTCCGTTTAAAAAACTTTTTTCCCACTTAAAAAATGATTTCAGTTAGCAGTTGATGGCATCATCAGCATTACACACTAAGTAAACTGCACTATTTGATTTCAGCCAGTATCTGTATGTGGAAGTGTGCAAACTCTACAAGGAGTTTACGTTACTCTTTCTCTTCTAGAAAGAAAACCCCTAACTTGATACCTGCGTAATCCCCGGAATTTACTTTTTTAGGACGCCTTTCCAATTGCAAGCCTGAAATCAATACCATCTTGAGGGCAGTGAGCCCCCGGAAATATATTTTATGCTCAATTATATTGTACCCTGTTTCCCTGAAAATAAGACAGGGTCTTATTTTTTTGCTCCAAAACGCATTTGGGGTTATTTTCAGGTGAATTTTTTTTTCATGTACAACAATCTACAAAAACGCATGTTATTTCCAGGTGATGTTTTATTTATTTTTTCATGTACAACAATCTACATTTATTCAAATAGTCATGTCATCTTCTTCTGGTTGCTGCCCAATGGTGGAGGCAGGGTTTCACTTAACTAGGGCTTATTTTGGGGGTAGGGCTTATATTACGAGCATCCTGAAAAATCATACTAGGGCTTATTTTCAGGTTAGGGTTTATGTTATTTCCAGGTGATGTTTTATTTATTTTTTCATGTACAACAATCTACATTTATTCAAATAGTCATGTCATCTTCTTCTGGTTGCTGCCCAATGGTGGAGGCAGGGTTTCACTTAACTAGGGCTTATTTTGGGGGTAGGGCTTATATTACGAGCATCCTGAAAAATCATACTAGGGCTTATTTTCAGGTTAGGGTTTATTTTAGGGGAAACAGGGTAGTAAATATATCAGACCAAACAGAGGGCGGGAGAGACAAACAAACACATAGTGACACCTTAAAGAGAAAATGCTATACAGTATTTTAATGAGAGCTTTCATGGCTCAAGTCATAGTGACATCTTAAAGAGAAAATGCTATATTTTAATGAGAGCTTTCATGGCTCAAGTCCACTTCCTTATACAGTATATAAGAATGAGATTATATGACTGTCATATTTATACAGTACATGGCCCGTGACCAGGTGAGGATATAAATAATGGAACTCCAGGATAGCTCAATGTTTTAGGTATCTGGTTGGGAGTTCGATTCCTCCGCCATTCCGCCTTGACAGGGGCGGGACGGGATGGTAGCCTATCAGGCTGTGAATAATGTCAATTATTATTATCAGCAACCCTATACACGGCCACGTTTGTCTCTTTTAATTTTTTTAAAAAATTATTTTTTGTCTGATATGCTTGCACAGAGTAACCGGCTGCTTCTTGGCAAACTGTTTGAACGTATTGGCGGCAAACTGTAAAACGATCGCACCAGCACTTTGTCAATGTCTTGCAAAGACGTGGAACTTGGAAGCACCTCTGGTCTGTGAGGGAAATAAATGATCTCAGCTGGTCCACCAAGCTGACAATTTATTTTATGTCAATGTCGTTCTGAGAGCCGCAGTATGAACTGGCCCCCCAGACGGTCGAGATCTCTTTGTGTGTGTTTTTTTCTCTCTCTTTCACACACACACACACACACACAGAGGCAATGAGCAAACACCGCTTGACATATGTCAAGAGACGAACTGGATTAACCGAATGGAGGTCTTGGCCGCCCTCCTGAGCGGCACCGCCTGTGACTGTCGGCGCAGCAGAAGCGCGGGCCCCCCCAGCGGCCCTTATCGCGGTTCTTCACGGACGCGGGCAGGCCGGTCCCAGAAGAGGCTGCTGGGCGGAGCCAGCCGTGCAGGAGGACGACCGGGCGGGTCGGCAGCTACAAAAGTCCTGGCCGGGCGTGCAGGAGGAGGAACAGGCGAAGAAAGGCAGCATGGAGAACCGCCCGGTCGTCTTCGACAAGCCTAAGGTGAGTAAGCCGCTAGCCGTGAAAGACAGGGAGCCAGCCAGCCAGCCAGCCTCGACGGCGTGTCTCTTCGGGGGCTGAGGAGACGGCCGTGTCCCGGAGGAGTGGGTTTCAAACGCGGCCGGCCGCCCCGCTGGCCCTCTTGAGAACCACCCCTTGCCCTCCCATGAACCCGAGGCGCCACCCCCGCTGCCCTTTTAGGGCTCCGAAAAGAACCCCGAGCCCTTCCCTTGAGGCACTTCTACTCAAGAGGAGGTCTCGTTGCGGCTCAAGCGAGGCTGAAGCGTGGCTCGCTTTTCTGGCTTTCCTCCCCGTACCCCCCCTCTCTTTTATTTATTGCTCCGAATTAAGGGACGCCTCTTGGTGGCTTTCGACGAGGCAAAAAGCAGCCTCGCTCTTCGGGTATCCTGCGGGACTCCCCTCCCCGTTTTCTTTGCTCCCAGACCCTTTGCCCCTTGTCTTGTCATGAGGGCTCAAAGTCTGGTGGTGCCGGAGCAGGTAACTATGCTATGCTAATTCAGGCGGTACCACCTGCTTCTCAGCGTGGGTTGTAGAGACTTTAGGCTGCTGGTTGCCCTTTCAACGGCGCTCCACTTGCTTCATATCCTTTTTACTTCCCACTGAGTAAACCTCTTTGCAGGTCATCCATCCTAACTGCTCCTCCCAGACTCTTACCGCCATCCTGGCTCTTAGTATAGATTCACCGGCTGTTCTACTTGCATTCTGTTTCCAACAGCTGTCCACCTTGGCTCACAGTCTTCTTTGCACCATCATATTATATTGGTGTCCCTGTCCAGGTGCTTTCTTTCCAATATTTTATCCCTTCTTTAGACAGCCAGATCTTTCTTTCCACTCATTAGGGTTTTGTCCCCAAACCCACTTTCCCCTGTCAATTGAGGACTCACCACACATAATTTGTTCCCTCTTGTGCGTGGGTGAGGCTTGTTTTGGCTACACGAGGATAAGGAGCTCATTATTAGTGCTGTATATAGTATTAACCAGCAATTTAGATGTTATCTTGTCTTGCTATGTGTCATAGATTTTTTTGTGGTTCAGAATGATACTCATCATGTATTGAATGCAGAGGGTTGGCTCAGTAGCTGTGGTTAGAGATCTGGGATATTTGTCTTAATCTTTTACTGTTTGTTATACAGAACAGTGATGAGGTGGTTATTTTTTGTGAAAGTATTGCAAAATAGCTCTCTGTACTCTGTGTAGTATGTTAAATGTTTGTGTGTGTGTTTAACTCTTGGTCCCCCTAGGAATGATGTATTTATCAAAAAGAACTGCAAGGTAGCTCAGTGGTTTATACATCTGGCTGTGGAGCCAGAGGTTGGGAGTTCAATCCTCCTTGAGAGTGGCTGGACTCGATGATCCATAGGGTCCCTTCCAGCTCTGCAATTCAAAAGTTATTATTATTATTATCCTTTTCTTACTTGGCCTTCAGACTTGTTCATTCAAGAACTGCAAAATGATTGCAGGCTAGAGAGCTTTGACAGCTTAACTGTTCAAACCAACTGGGCAGTGACATAATTTGAGCATATTCCTAAATCAGTATTCCTCAGCTTGGTCCTTATGTTGTATTATCCAAAAGTACACAAGCATATACCATTACATGCATAGTATAGTGAAATAGTGCTGAATGTGTATTCTTCTTTGACTTATACAGTACCGTGTTTCCCCGAAAATAGGGTCTTATATGAATTTTTGCTCCTCTTATACCGTGTTTCCCCAAAAATAGGGTCTTATACAGTATTAATTTTTGCTCCAAAAATGCATTAATGCTTATTTTCAGGGGATTTTTTTTCATGCACAATCTACATTTATTCGAATACACTCATGTCATCGTCTGGTTGCTACACAGTGGTGGAAGGTGGGCTTTCACTTAACTGGGGCTTATTTTTGGGGAAGGGCTTATATTACGATCATCCTGAAAAATCATACTAGGGCTTGTTTTCAGGTTAGGTCTTATTTTCAGGGAAACAGGGTACGTGGATTAAAAAATTCAGCACTGTTGAAAATGTATCAGTTGGGACCTGTTGCTGGAACTATCTGATTAATCATGAGCAAGCCTCTTAAGAATAAAACAGCCTTTCTTTTATGATTCACTGGTGAAAACTGTGTTGCTTAGTACAGTAAAACGCACTAGAGCAAGCCCACTGGATCAATGGGAATTTTGTGAGTCAACTTCATAAGTTTAGTGATTCAAATGGGCTTACTCTAGCATAGTAAATTGCAGTTGGAGGGAGCCTATTTGAATTATTGAGCTCATAGAGGAATTGACTAAAATCCACATTGATTCAGTAGGCCTGCTCTACTGCATTTTACTGTGCTAAACAGGATTTTCACCACTGCCGTTTTAAAAAATGCAAAATCTTAATATTTCTGTACAGATGATATGCTTTTTACAGTTAAAACATAAGACTGATCAATGACATATTTGATGTTATATTCTCATGGGACTGATTAAACCTAGGATCCAAGGAGTTTGGTTAAGCAAAGTTGGGTAGTACTGTATGGAGCTAATCCACCTAATTTCTTTGTTGCTGAACATCTATAGGTAGATGGAGCACAGTCCACTAAATCAGCCATTATCAGTATTGTTTTGGCCATAGCCATAAACACGATAGGAAAAAAATATAGGCCAAATCAGGATAGTATAAATTGCGTAACAAACATTCTGTTGTTGGAATCCTTGTTAAATGAGTTGGGTCCTCACGGAACACAAGGTAAATTTGGGCCATCTCTAGTTTGACCTGCATAATATATTTTTCACACTTTAATTATCTGCAGCTGTGCCAATGAAACTCTGTATGCTTTCTTCAATTCCTTATAATCTGGCTGCCTCCTCCTGCGGGGTTGAGACAATTAACATAAAGAAAGAAAGGGAAAAATAACATTAAAATGTTGCCTGATGTGAAATACAATCTGGGATAATAGAACATCTATGATTGTGATGAACTGCCTCTGAGCAAGCAGTCAATACCCTTTTGTAGTGCTACTAAATAATTGAAGCTTTGGCAAGTCTAGAAAAAGAGTCAGTTCACACCTTAAGGCCATTGTGTATTTTCTCCTCTTAAAGTTTAAACCAGTGGTTCTCAAACTTTTTCAACTTGCAGCTCCCCTTGATTTACTAGCAGCTAGCCACAACTCCCCAATACTGTACAATACTTTGGGTAGGTAGAGGAGAAGGGAAGGTGGAAGCCCAGCCTGAGTAGTACTTCCATTTTTGTCCCCTGAAAATAATTTATAATTATAGAATGTAACAAAATAAAAATAACATTTGTTTAATAAATGTTTAATTGAGTAAGAAACAGCGCAATATTAGACAAAACGGTTTTCGTAGGCTTAAAACCCTCTTTAACCATTGTGTTTAAACACACATCATATTTTCTGTACTTGGTTTTTCATTTCCTGATCTCTTTTTTGACGATGTTGTTCTGGCAATCACTGGGCTGAGGGGACTTTCTTAAAAAATACTTGAAGAAAGAAAACGGAATATTCTGTTTCAGATCACTACTTCAAATCAGTGGGTATTAAATTAAAAAGAAAAAGTCTCATACCTCCTAAAAACCTTTCCTAGTGAACATCCTCCAGTGGAAGGAAAGAAGAGGAGAGGAAAGGACAGGAATGTCCTGGTGAACATCTTCCAGGGAAATGGAAAATGGAAAGGAAAAGAAAACAAACAAACTGGAGGAGGATGTTAACAGGGACTCCAAAGGCAGTTGGCCAAGAGTCAGTCAGCCAGTCTCTCCCACACAAAAGGGGGATGAAAAAGAGAAATGGTTACTGACCCCTTGACCACCACCCCTTTTTCTCTCCCCCCCCTTTCCCCATTTTGTGCCCAGCAATCTACTGCATTTTATGATTTAAGTTCCTACCTTCCAGCCTTCATTGCTAATCTCCACTAATGAGTTGGGCCTGGTTTGGCCCCACAGGGGTTGTGTGAGTGCTCCAGATACAGTATATGATCCTCCAGTTTGATAGATCATAAGATGATCCTGCTGGATCATATGTGCTGTGATAAAACTCCTTGCAAGTTTGTCTTCCAGCATCTAGTATTCATTCTGAAAAGAGCCTTTTGAACATGGAAGTTCCATGGAAGCAGTCACAGATATTGTTATACTGACCATCCATGATTTTCTCAGTCTACATCCTCCCCTTAATATCAGCAAACCAGTGGACATCATCAATTTTTCTGTATGTACATTCCATAAATGTAATGCAAGACAAAAGTTTTGTTTTACATTTGTTATAAATGTAAAGGTAAAGGTTCCCCTTCACAATTTGTCCAGTCGTGTTTGACTCTAGGGGGGCGGTCCTCACCCCCGTTTCCAAGCCATAGAGCCAGCGTTTGTCCGAAGACAATCTTCCGTGGTCACATGGCTAGTGCGACTTGGACACGGAACGCTGTTACCTTCCCACTGAGGTGGTCCCTATTTATCTACTTGCATTTTGCGTGCTTTCAAACCGCTAGGTTGGCGGGAGCTGGGACAAGCGGCGGGTGCTCACTCTGTCACATGGATTCGATCTTACAGCTGCAGATCTATAGACCTTACAGCACAGAGGCTTCTGCAGTTTAACCCGCAGCGCCACCACGTCCCTCCATAAATGTACTGCACATTAAATTTGTTGGATAATGCTCAGTTCTAAACTTTGTAAGACAGGACGATAAAAGCACATTAAAAATTTGCACTTTATTTAAAAGGGTCCTTTTGAGGGCAAAGGTGGGGTAAAAATATTTTAAATAAATAATAATAAAAATAAAAATTAAACTTCTCTTTCCCTTTAGTAATCTTTTCTTAATCTACTCTAGATTTAAAAGCTAGGCACTACAGTATTTGGCTTTTCTTTTATAGGAGAGATGCCCAAATACTGTACTTTGCTTATGCTTCTCTCTCTCACTTTTCCCATATCAGTGTAAAATGTACAAAGGGAGCTAACCAAGAAGTTGAAGTTGAACTGTAATATTAGTGCTAGGATATTTCAAAAGATTACATAGTTTTCACACCACTTGAAATGCAGGATACACAAAAGATATTTCAATATGGGTAATTTATTTTTTCTCTGTTGGGACAGTGTGTACTCTAAAACATTGGCAACCTTTAACAGAATATTTATTTGCTTATGGAATTGGCAGTACTGCTGGTATTTATTTAAAGAGATTGAGAATGGATGTAAGGTTTAAATTGCTTTCCTTGTTCAAAAATATAGAATTAAATAGCATAAAAAATCTTGGCTCTCATCTTCGAACTGCAATTATGTCCTGCATTATTACTTACGTAGTCACTTTGATGCCACAAATTGAGAAAGGATCATCTGCCTTCTCCTGATAGTGTTTTGTACAGACTGATTGACGTCTGCAAGGTTCACAGTAGTCTGTATGACTATGCAAAAAATACTTTGGGGATTTAAATTTGTTATTCCCTGTGTACGTGTATTATGTTTAGTACTTACTAATTGACTTATCAGCTCTGCACTTGTTTATTTTTTTTAGTGGTTTAGTGCCCTATTTTATTCATTTGATTTATGACCTGCCTTCACCAGAAACTGGGAGCCAAAAAAGATTAAAAAATAAGAGCAAGGTCTGGATTCCTGTTGGCAGAAAGTGAATAAACTGCCAGATTGATACTAATTAATGAGTTGCCAGTTTTGTTCCTGGTTGCATAGCTGTTGCACAACTAAGTACATGCTCAGGAATACAACAAGCAATTTGTCTCATGATTGAACACTGTTTCACTTACACATGTGTAAATAGCCAACAGAATTCTAGCCAACTACCAATAAAAATAATATATTACAAATATTAAACCTTAATTAAATCTGTTATCAGTCTTAAAAGCAGACAATCAAAAACTGTCAATTAAAATAGTTACAAATTATCAACAGAATGAGAGACTATGTAGTACAGTGGACCCTTGACTTACAGACGGCTTGACTTACAGACTTTTTGACTTGAGAACCGCCTTCCAATACGGATTAAGTTCTCAAGTCAAGACCCCACTGTATTCTGTATAGAGTTTTGGACTGGAACTCAGAAGATCTGTGTCTAAATTACTACTTGGTGTGAAAATTCACTGGAGGGAGGCACGTAGTAATAATAAAACCACTCCTTAAATATCTTACATACCTTGGAAAATCTACAATGCTTGCAGTGGGTCACTACTAGTTTACAAAGCACACCACCTCATCAGAAGTCCTTTTTGCTAGCAGTCAGTTACCTGCCAAAGCCTCCTAAACAAGAACATTTTCTTATGCCATTAAGTAGGTGGCCAACCTGGACTCCCTGGACAGGGAGTTTCATAATCTGGGAATGGCCACTAAAAAGGCTTTATTTGTCTCTACATCAGTCTGAAGATTCCAAAGATCCCTATGCACACTTTTATGGGAGGGTATCTTTCAGATAGCCTGGACCAAAGTTTGAAGGTCATGATCTATACTTGAATTGTGTCTAGAACTGAATTGGTAAGCGGTGGTTGAAATCCAGTAGTAAGTTGCAAATAGAGTTGCTTTGTTGAAACAACTCCATAAATTCCATTCTTACTCTTGTTGCACCTTACTGCTAGATTTAGCCAATTAAGTTTCTGTCACGTTAAATACTCCCTGAAACCAGTCTGGGTCTGTAGTCTGGCTGCCGCATCTGTGTGTAATCCAGGTGGGATGTAACGAAGGTGTGTGTCACCATAGGCAAATAAGACATTACGGATGTTTCAGTGCATTAGGTCTCTGGCTGTGGAACCAGAGGTTGGGACGTCATTTCCTCACTGTGCATCCCAGAAGAGCCAGCCTGTGTTGCCTTGGGCAACCTGCACAGTCCCAGGGTACCCCGAGAAGGAAATGGTAAATCACTTCACTTCTGAGTATTCTCTACCTAGAAAACCCTGGAAAAGGTTGCCATAAGTCAGAATTGACTTGCACACAACAACAGTATATGTATATTAGCTCTTTGTCTTGTTAGAAAATATCATTCATTTATTTATTTGTTTGTTTGTTTGTTTGTTTGATTGATTTATATCCCACCCATCTGGTCTATTCGACCATCATGATAGTATGCCATCCTTTTGCAGTAAACTCAATCAGATTACATTGACATTTAAAAATAAAATAACATCCAGTGTAATTTCCTATCACAATTGAACATATCATAGTGAATAATCTTATGTTGCCTCGCATCTTCAAACAGTGAACATTTCTAGAGATGCACTCCCTACAGGTATTCCACTGGAGCAGGTTGGTCTTTTAATAATTCATTCTATTAAAAATGATTTACTTGAAGAAGTAATACCTCACATCTTGGAGAATTCTTCAGACTACAGTTACAGAAGTGAAGGAAATTAGATTAGCTGGGAAGATCTGTTCTCTTATCAGATCAGTTTTCTATATTTGGAACATTCTAGCATGGCCCTATATACTGTATATAAAAAGAATTGTTTAAACATCAGTTCCCATGGAAATGTATCACCTGCATTCCCCTGACAAAAGGATGTGTCTAGAAGCCCTGCCAATGGGCTATAAAAGAACAGTTTTAGTCATTTGCCCCCACCCACCAAAATTTCAACAATAGCTTGGACTGGAGTTGCCTCAGCTGTTTACCACAAGTGGAAGTTACTAGTACATCCATGATAAACTATGAAGCTTATCTATATCGAATGAAATGACTATTCACAATGAATTAAGAATTCAATATGTTTTGGATGCCTTTTACTACATCTGGGGCTTCTACATTGGCTAGTCAAATTGCTTTCCGGCAATTATTTCAGTTGAGCACTCGGATATTATGCAAAATAACCCGTGAAGAAATAGATTAGTAAATTCAAATAATCAGAAACTTTTGTTTCACAATCATAGACACTTTTCATTGAGCAAGAAGCTTTTAATAGCTTTACTTGATGTAAACAGTATGATCATATGCTTGATTCGACCTTGTTGCTAAGTGCCACTGGGTCGCTTCTGACTCATGGTACCCCTTTGAATGAGCGATCTCCAAAATGTCCTGTACTCAACAGCCTTGCTCAGCTCAAGTCTGTGGCCTCCTTCAGGTAGTTAGTCCATGTGTACAACAAAAATCTTTAGATGTGTGAAGCCGATTCAAATGCCATTGCATCTTAAAATAGATGGAAAGTTAAAAACAAACAAATGCTAAATCTGCATAGACAGCTTTTCACTGCCCATCCCTCTCTTGCTTGCACCTTGGAGGGCTTGGGAAGGGGCAATTGTACTAAAATAACTAAAAGCATGAATGACTGCCAAAATCTGAGAATAAATATGTTTCTTACTTATGTATCACAATATTTTTAATGTTTCTTAATTGTCACAATCTTGTGATTCTGTTGCAGATAGAACTTCACGTCCACCTGGATGGAGCTATCAGACCAGAAACTATTTTATACTATGGCAAGTGAGTGAATGGGGTTGGAGTTGAATTGCTCCCTTTCTTGTTTTAAATGATTATGTTTTCCTCCGTATTTGCAAAATGATCCTCAGTGATTCTGATTCTGTTTTGATACGGAAAAACAAACTCACTCTAACATTTGATTCTGTCTAATTATTATGAAAATAAGGAAGTGTGCTTTGGTAAATGAAGTAAATTAACAGCACAATCCTATGCATGTTTACTGAATAGTATGTCTTACTATGTTCAGTGAAGCTTGTTTCCAATCTGGAATTACAGCTTGAGAGTTGGTAAGTTACAGTGGTGACATGACTCCCACCATCTAAATCAAACATGGATACCTTGTGTGGTGCAGCAGATAGAGTGATGGACACTCATGGTTGAATCCCAACTCACTAGAGGGTTAGAACTGGCAAGACTACCCTCTAACTTACCTGAAAGCTATGATCTAAACCAGCTCTATAATCATTATCTCAAATGTTATCCCTTATCAGGAAGGTGGAAGAATCTGTAAATCAGGTAAAGATAGGAAGCAAATTTGACAGAATGTAAGCCAGATTGCATCACAATTGTATATGACTAAAATCCCATTCAGTATGATTGATCATTGCTGGTTTTTGATGATGCAACAAGGTGGGGAACTGCAACACCAGTTCATGCTGGTCTATGCTACTGCATTGCTCCTGATTGAAGAGGGATTGGGGAAACAAACCACAAAGCTTTAGTATGTGCCTTCTTTATTGAATGGTCTGAACTCTAGTTTAGTTCTCTTCCAGCAAAGAGAGAAAGAATCCTAAAGCAAACTTAACAGTTTACTGCAGTGGTTCTTAACCTTTGTTACTCGGATGCTTTTGAACTGCAATTCCCAGAAACCCCAGTCAGGACAGCTGGTGGTGAAGGCTTCTGGGAGTTGCAGTCCAAAACTCCTGAGTAACCCAAGGTTAAGAACCAGTGGTTTACTGCGCTCCCAGAGAATCTGCTGTGGCTATTGGTTGTGCCACTTCCTCTGGATGGAAGTGGGCACAGTGAGCTGGGGCCCAGCTGGGCACCTGTGCCATTATTGTGGGGATTTAAACAGGTCAATGGTCAGTAGATATGGGCATGAATACAAAAAATGGTGAGTTGTCATGATTTATAATTTATCAAGATTGACAAATCACGAATTTATGAACCTTTTCGGATGAATCAATTTGTCAATTCATCTTGACTTTTAAACCCTATAAAATGCCCCCTGGCACCTAGAGACACTGAAATCACTGAGAAGCTTCCCTCGATTCTCCTCTACAAGCCCTCCAAGTTTGGTGAAGTTTGGGTCTTGGACATCTCAAGTTATACACCCACAAAGTGTCCCCCCAGAAAGCTCACCCCAAGCACCTAGAGACACCAAAATTACAAAGAAACTTCTCCTAACTCTCCTCAACAATAGTTCCAAGTTTGCTGAGAATTGGGTTTCGGGTATCTGAGTTATATCAAAGGCTTTCTCACCAGGAAAATGCCCTTAAACAGCTGGCTTGCAGCAGTGGTGGAATTTTCGCCAAATCATCTGCTAAAGGGCACTTTCCTGAGGGGGCACATTTTGTGGGGGTTTAACTCAATGTCGAAAACCCAGTATTCACCAAACTTGTAAGGCTAGTAGAAGAGAGTCAGGGGAAGCTTTACTGTTTTGTTGTCTCTAGGTGCCTGGGGGGAGGGGCTGTTTTTGTGGGGGTTTAACTCAGATGTCCAAAACCCAGTATTCACCTCTAGGTGCCTGGGGGGAGGGGCTGTTTTATAGCCCAACGAATCAATGAATCAAAAATCACTAAAACTACATCGATTTGTATTCATTGGGGGCGTTGCTTCTGACAAATACAAATTAACAAATTAGCAAATTTTTATGAATTTTGCAATTTGTTTTTTAATTCATGCCCATCTCTAAGAACCAGGCTCCCCCCCATGTCCTTTACTGGAGAAGTGGATCCACTGTCTTGTCCAGGGGTTCTGTTGCAGCAGTGGTTGATCTTTCCCAAGGGTACAGAAGATCAAAGGGGGGGATTCTTTGTCTCAGCCAATTCTCTGCTTCCAGGTCTGCTGAGGATGATGAGTCTTTCTCATCTTTTTCCTTTAATTCTAGCTGCTGCCATCCTGTCCCAGATCTTGCCCCACCCTCCAGTGTGGCTAATCTACCTCTAAGCTGCCTTCTGGGGGGTCCGTTCCTGCTTTCCTTGCCCTCAAGCTGCTTTGCAACCAGGGTCTTCAGGAAGTCCCCATGTATGTGTGATTCTGAGGTGGACAGCTCTCCAGGGAAAGCCACAGGCAACAGGAATGAGGCTTATGTTCCAGTTAACCACATTGCAAAGCATTGTAATCAGTATGGCTTTATAATATAATCAGTTTGCATTCTAATGGAAACTGATGCTATCATATGCAGGCATAGAATGAAGAATTCCTATTTGCCATACCTATTCCCTGCCACATGTCAGCTGTTGAATGTTTTATCTTCATTTAATTCTGTACAGTATGCCAGTAAAGGTTTCTGTCTATTTGCCAAATGATTTCTCAAATGGATAGTGAGATCCTTTTGTTTACTAAGAGGGTGATTTCTGTGACATAAAGAAATTGCACAATGGAAGGGGTTAGGAAACATATTTCATGCAGGAATAGTTTCTTAGCAAACCAAATAAAAAACCAGAAATTTCTGTATCAGTAGATTAATATTGATAGGCTATACTGCTGAAATTAGAATTTAGCTGGAAATACAGCTTCCCAGTTTCTTGTCGATTTTCTGTAAGTATCTTTCTGTACTTTATATGTGTATTTGTTTGTTCTCTCTCCTGCTCTCTCCTCCCACACTCTGCCATTGGAAGAGGAATTGTTGTGTATGAATAGTAGGGATGATATAGAAGGTCACATGACAAATGTCTAAGACTCTTCAAGCATCAGTTTTCTTTATACACCAAAATAAACCAGTTCTTTTCAGAACTAACCAAAAAAGCCTTTAGAACTTGATGAGTGTGTTTATTGATTTATTTTTTATTTTCAGGAAAAGGGGCATACAGCTCCCTGCAGATACTGTGGAAGGCCTACTGCAATGTGTTAGTTATGAAGAACCACTCAGTCTCACAGGGTTTCTAGAAAAATTCTCAATTTACATGCCAGCAATTGCGTAAGTAAAGTAACTCTGTCTTAACGGTTACCAAACCTTTACTCATTTTTATGGTGGTGATACTGACTCATAGTGCCAGGTTAATGATCCTTGATGTGTAGCATTTGCCCAGTTGTTTTGCCTATCAGGTATATAAACTTTGACATCGAACACTGCTTAGAAATTGAAGCCATTATTTCTGCTGAGAAAATAACAGCCTGATAGATGTGACTTGCTGGTGCACGGTGATCCTGACCTGTACCTTACAAGTAGTTAAGTAAGCAGAACAACTTGTAAGTGCATGTGAAAGCTGTCTTCCTTTTGAAGTGTAGTGTGGGTAGCTTTGAAACTTCCGTCACAGAAGATGGAATCTACTGGAATCAACATAACGTATATTCACCATTGCATATCGATTTTGAGACAACTGCAACTGATTGTGTGACAGTACTGACATTGTATTCTCGAAGGCTTTCACAGCCAGGATCTGATGGTTGTTGTGGGTTTTTCAGGCTCTTTGGCCGTGTTCTGAAGGTTGTTCTTCCTGACATTTTGCCAGTCTCTGTGGCCGGCATCTTCAGAGGACAGGAGTAGGAACTCTGTCCATGCTCTGTTGCTGTTTGTTGGATAGTTGAGTATTTACAGCTGTGGGAACAGCTTTTGTCCTTTTCAGGAGATAGGGTGACTTAACCCTTTCAAGAATGTAGGCACTGTTGAGTAAGAATTGTGGCAGATTTTAATTTAATATTCAGGAAACATAGTCAAGTGCATGAAGTACTGATTCCATATCAGAATTAATACAGGCCCTATGTCAAGTTAAATGCATTTCTTTTTCTCTCTCTCTTGCATAGTCCAAGAAAAATTATTTTTTCGCAACCCCTACGTGACTAAAACTGGTTGCATTGAAGTGGAGAGTATTCAAGGGTTGGAAGGATTCCTTGTTGCAGCTAATTCCCTATTTAGGTATCCTAAATTTCCTTGCTGACCAGGACATGTGTAGCTGAAGTTCAAACTGGATTTTTTTTTTTTTTGCATTAGATTAGACCCTGCTTGGTTTGTATATAGGTTTAATTAATTTTGGTTGATGTGCCCTGCCACCCTGTGCAGCCTGGAAGAAGTTGCATAGGCCCAAAGGAAGAACTGGTAAACAACTGCTGAGTATTTCATAGTTAGAAAACACTGTAAGAGTTGCAATAAGTTAAAACTGACTTAATGATACATGGTTTCTTAATTATTATAGGCCACCTCAACCGTTTTGTATAGCCAGAACAACAATTTATTTATTTATTTATTTATTTATTTATTTATTTATTTATTTATTTATTTATTTATTTTATATGCCGCCCACACTACCCAAAGGTCTCTGGGCGGCTTACAACATTTATAATACAATGTAGTTAATAAAATGATAACAAATGAAATACTGAACTGGACCCAGATCAAGGTTGCCAATTTAGAAAGGCTTTGAGTAGTGATTTACTAAAATGTAGAAGAATGTCTATTAAAAACCATTCTAATTTTAAAGAAACCCCTAAATTATAGATTCATCTCAGCCATTATAAAATATACTATAATGTGTTTGCAGGGGAGACCGCGAGGCTATTGAGAGAATTGCCTATGAGTTTGTGGAATCAAAAGCAAAGGAAGGTGTTATTTATGTTGAGGTCAGGTATAGCCCTCACCTCCTGGCAAACTCTGAAGTGGATCCTATCCCTTGGAACCAAGAGAGGTGAGTAACTGTTCAAATATGTGAATGGATGTGTTTCATTATGTGTTTCCAAAAGGCATATTTCTGAGAAGCATGAGTAGCTTCCAATAAACATTTAAAGGAATCTGTCTGTCTGTATTTCTGGTTTGATTCCCAGTGTAGTATAGTATTTATTTCTATTTATTTATTTATTTATTTTATTTTATATCCTGCCTATCTGGTCGGGTCAGGACCACTCTAGGCGGCTAGTAAATAGAGTGATGAAGTAGGACTCTGGAGAACAGGGTTCAAATCCCCAACTGGCCATGGAAATTGACTGGGGGAGTAAACTGGTAAAACCACTCCTTAAATATCTTACTTACCTACCTTGAAAGCTTAGGGTTGCTATAAATCAGCTCTGACTTGACTGCACAGAAAACACACACACATATATATTACTATTACAGTGGTGCCCTGCTAGATGCTTACCCCGCATGACGTCAAAATCGCTTGACAATGACATTTTTGCGATCGCTATTGCTATCGCAGAACAATAGTTCCATGGGGGGAAATCCGCTTTACATTGATTAGGAGCCTGCTTCGCAAACTGTTTGTTCGCAAAACAGTGTTTTTTCCGGCTCCATAAAATGGCTTCCCTCTGTAAAATAGCTTCCCTCCCTTCTCAAAATGGCTGCTTTCCGGATGGAAGCTTCGCATTACAGCGATTTAGAATAGCTGATTGGCGGTTCTCTATGGGCAATCTTCGCTGGACGATGAGGTATTTCCCCCATTGGAACACATTGACTAGTTTTCAATGCATTCCAATGGGGATTTTTTTCCCTTTGACAACGATTTCGCTTAACAGCGATTTTGCTGGAACGCATTATCGTCGTCAAGCGGGGCACCACTGTATGTAGTTTTTTGGTTCATGTTACATCTGCATGAGTGCGTCTACTGTGGCAGTGCTGTTAGTGTGTAGGTATTCCACATGTCTTTAGGTGCTTAACTGTGTGATCTGTTAAATATTTAATATGCAGTTGAGCTTTCCTTTCCTTCTGTACAAGTACATGTGTGGCAATCTGGAATAGATTTGGACCACCACATTTGGGTAGGTGATACTTAGATATTTTCTCCACAGGAAGGAAGGAAAGAGGCTCAGCTCCATGCTCAATGTAGAAAAGAATTTCAGTTTGCCTTTAGTATTCTGTGCCACACAAGATATCAATGCAGTGTGCATGTTTAACATTCTGTCTACATAGGGAAGAGGGCCCATTCTGTGAAAGCTGCTTACTGTGTAATTCTGGTTCTCATACTCCTCTCCATAGTACTATATTACATAGTACTATATTATTCCCAGAGAATGAGAAAGAAAAATATCGAAGCACAGTGTAACTAAAGTTAAGCATTTTGGGCTTCAATTTTAAGCACATTTTCACTGGAGTAGGAACACAATCTGGCTTTGTTCTGAGGAAATATGCATTTCATCATGCTGTTTAAGTCCCACGATGAGCAATTTACAGTGGTGCCCCGCATAGCGAGGTTAATCCATTCCGGATTAACCTTCGCTATGGGAAAACATCGTAAAACGGATCCTAAAAACCCATTGGAACTCATTAAAAAAAGTTTAATGCCTTCCAAATGGGCCCAAAACTCACCGTTCTCTGATGTTTTCCCTTGTTCCGGCAGCCATCTTAGGTATACCGGCGGCCATTTTGAGCGTCCCGGCGGCCATCTTGGGTGTACCAGTGGCCATTTTTTGTGTTCTGGCGGCCATCTTGGTTGTCCCAGCGGCCATTTTGAGAGCCCCAGCGGCCATCTTAGGTGTACCGGCACCCATTTTTTGTGTTCCGGCGGCCATTTTGGAACCGCTGAACAGCTGTTCCCCCATCGTAATGCGAGCATGCCCTCGCATTAGCGATGGGGAAATCCGCAACACAATGCAGATTCATCGTTCAACGGTGCACTCGTTATACGAGGCACCACTGTATAGAGAGAGTAAAGGAGGGAGAAAGGACCATGTACATATGAGTGTCTGTGGTGTCAGTGTGACCCTTAGTGGTGTTGATGAGCAAAAACATTAGCAACTTCCTAGCTGTTCAGTTAGAATGAATATGACTCCTAAGTTTTGACTGGATGTCCTAGTTAACATTTCACATTTATGGATCATCATCTCAAGCACTTGCTCTTTTCTACTGCAGTCTTTTCAAGATGTAATTCCTTACCAGGCATTTTCTATTATAGGAAGTAAATAAACCTTCAGCTACAAAACAGAAAAGAATTATTTTAGGAATGTGTACACTTTTAATTACTTTAGATAGGTAGTGACTAAAGTTGCGGGCTTCTAAAAAGGCTTCTAGTTAGTCAGTAAACAAAGATGGGTTAATGGGCATTTTTGCCATATTTGTAGTTGTCGAGACCAGTACCACTGCTTTTAAAACCAAAGAATTGATTAGAATTCATGCCTGTATTAGCAATTTCTGCCACCAATTTCAGAGGATAGACATATGTTATGGAGTTAGCATATACACTAGCAGTGCAGAGGTCAGAAGGCTCACATGATTTATTGAAACCTTCTCCATCTTGACATATCCCTGATGATTTGCATTAAATTTCCTGAAATTATCGACCACTGGCCATCCTGGCTGAAGTTGGTGAGAGCAAAAATTCAAAATAAATGGAAGATACCACATTGAGATGGTGACTTACAATTATGTGCTTACAATTAACTGACTCAGGAGATTTTGTTGACTTAGAAGAAAATAGCCGTATAGTGAAATCCTAATGTATATATGTCTGTTTGGAGCTTAGCCTTATCAAGTTTAGTCCTAGATAAGAAATATATGATGCATTACAGCTTTCATGTCAGTTTTTGAATATGAAGTCCAAAGTGCCGGTACTTTCCAAAGCTAGTGAAGTGCATCTATATTTATTTGGCCATCTTGAAAATGCTAGAGATTTAATCAGCCTGCTCTGTTTTTCCTCTCTTCTTTCCATAATCCCTCTGACAATGCTTCCGCGTTAGAGGGATCTCTTACCCTGAGTAACTTCATCCATCTTGCTGTGCGAGGCAGCTGTAAGGGGTTTTGGCAGCTCAAGAAAGAAACTAGACTTAAAACAAGTATTTCCTTTCACAACTTCTCTTTAAAATATCCAATACCTTTTGGTTGTTAAAGCTACTAGGGTGAGACACTGCAGGTGATGTTTATAACTCTAAATTTGTTCAGAAGAAATCAGCATTGTCTGATTGCTAATTTATATTTTAAGCCAGTTTCACAGGGCAGTGTCAGAAAGAGTTGAGGGAGAACAAGAGAAAGAAGGAGGAAGGTTTGCTCTTACTCTTGGCTGTAGTTCCTGCTAGGGTAGTCTAAAGTTATGCATGTTAATTGAGTTGGGGGGAAGTGCAGTTTCCAGCTCAGGAAAAAAAATTGCTTATAGGAATATTTAAGTGACTTAGCAAGAAAATTATCAAACCATTGCTGCTAGTTTGAGTACCAAATTAGATAGTTTGCAAGGTGTCTTTCTGTCTCCTCTACAAAAGAAAGAAATGGTTTGTTGCTATTTGTAGAAAAAAGGAAGTGTTTTCTATATAGATTTGATTTAAATGTTAAATACAGTGGTGCCTCACTTAACGAGCGCCCCATTTAACAATGAAACCGCATAGCGATGAAGATTTTGCAATCGCAAAAGTGATCGCATTGCAATGTTTTAAATGGTAAAAAATCATTTTGCGCTGATCGCTTCGCTGTTTCGCTTACCGATTATCACATAGCGATGTTTTTTCAACAGCTGATCGGCGGTTCCAAAATGGCTGCCGGGTTAAAAAAAATGGCCACCTGCTGTGTTTTCGTGCAGTTTCCTCACTTACTGGGCAGCGAAAATGGCCGCCGTATGGAGGATTTTCGCTTAAAGGTGAGTTTTTAGCCCATAGGAACTCATTAAACAGGTTTTAATGCGTTTCTATGGGCTTTTTAAAACCGCATAGCGACAAAATCTCTTAGCGACGTTTTTCCTGGAACAGATTATCGTCACTATGCGGGGCACCACTGTATTGCAATCAGGTTTTTTTGTGAGTACTTAATACTTAGTTTCACAATTACACTTAGAATTTTAAAAATATGTACACTTAGAATTTAAAAACATTTAATCCCAGGAATTTGTTCAGAGTCCAGCACTGAAAATAAGGATACGGATCTTCCGTACAAAAATCTGCTATTTGAAATATACACTTGGACACCTTTCTTTGTTTTAGCAATGTAATTGCTGTCATTTTCTTGTTTCTGTTGTTCTTTTTGTTATAAAACTCGGAATAGGCAATCTTTGCAGCCTGTTGCAGATTACTAGGAATTATATTTTAGAGAAAATTAATCTGAAGCTGAGGATTGAGAGAAAGAAAGGAAGCTCAAACTTTTCATAAATCTGAGGATTGAGAGAAAAGAAAGGAAGCTCAAACTTTTCATAAATGGCATGTTCATCTGCAATTTATTGTTTTATATCCTTGGTCATCAGGGTTTTACCATTTGTAGCTCTTCCCTTCGTGGCCACTAGGAGAATGCCCTTGGATACACCTGCTTAAAAAGACTGACATTTATTCATTCAATTAATTGTATCCCACTTTTCCATCCAAGTGACATCATAGAAGAAAAAAAAACCAATAATTTCAGAAGATAAACAATTTTTTAAAAAATCAGAGAATAAGTAAAATAAACCTGTAAATAAACTTCCAGTTCATTTTTAATGAAAATATCAGTTCAGTATAAAATACAAGTTTCATGAATAATCTCAAACAATAGGATAATTACATAAAAGTAATTCTGAGATTTAACCAGGTAGCTGGTTTAACAGTCATGAAGCAGTATTTCCCTCTTTTTCCAGTGCTGGATATTGGCAGGGAACAATATGCTAATTGATCGCTGTATTTGTTTTACACAGGGGAGATCTCACTCCGGATGAAGTGGTTAGCCTTGTTAACCGGGGTTTAAAAGCTGGAGAGAAGGCTTTCAACATCAAAGCCAGGTCTATTCTATGCTGCATGCGCCACAGGCCAAGTAATGTATTACAACTCACCTGCACCACTGTGCCATACTGTACTAATTTTGTCTTCTTCCCCATTCACCTACCCACACACATGAACTCCACTGATCCATGTAATTTTGACATTCATCAAAAAAGTAATTATTTGTACTTTGGGTTCTCAGTCTCAGAATAACATTAACAACTACTCTCACTGCAGACAGGTACATGGGATAGGTATAAATGCTGGAAGAAATAAATAGGAACATTTTTTCCATATAACACTTAAAAGTAACTTGAAAAAAATTGCAGGGTATTCCAACTTGAGATATTTTGTTGATTTTGCTGTGTGCAGAATTAGTTTGGGGCTGCTGATAAGCATGACTCAGTTTTATACGGTTAATGCTTCCATACTAATGCTTTTCTGTTGAATTGCCATATTTTAATTAATGTTAATGTTTTTCTGAGAATTTAGAGTACATACTGTATTTTTCCTTGTATAAGACTATACTTTTGTCTAAAATCTTTAGAGTAAAAATTGAGGGTTGTCTTGTACACGTAAGTAAGCTGAGGCGAGAACAAACACAAGTGGAGGGGAAAGCGGGGATCAAAGCGATCCTGCAGTGCTTTGATCCCTTTCCCCCCTACATTTGCTAAGCCCTACTTAGATTTCTTAATTTGGGGTTAGAAAAGTGTGGGAGGTGTCTTATACATGGGGCGTCTTATACACGGAAAATATGGTAATTGAAAATTATTGCATCTCAATATTTTTCCCTATTTTTGAGTGTGTGTGCGTGTGTTTAAATCTATTTGTGGCCATTTTAAATAAAATGCTGTTCCAAATGTGCATTACTGCTGTGGACAAGGCACCATTAAAGCTTTTAAAGGCTACTATGCCTTGGTTATAATATTTTCTTAAAAGCATTTTACTGCTTTTTGTTTAGCAGTATCAGGAATTACTGATGTTAACTCCCATAACAGTTCCTCTTGTATTGCAATTTAATTACTGCTCCTCTTCACTTCTTTTCACTTTCTTTTATAGCAAAATAGTGGTGTTGTCCCCCAGAAAATACCGTATTTTTCGCTCCATAAGACGCACAGACTTTCCACCCCCCTGTTTTGTGGGGAAAAAGTGTGTCTTATGGTGCGAAAAATACGGTAAATAAAAATGGCTCCCCTTTCCAGGCAGGTAACAGAAGCTGACAAATTGAGGGGCAATTCATCACCTGTTTTCCAGACAAAGTAAGGGGAAGCAATAAAACAAGATCAACCACAAGGAAGAAATATTTACATAATATTGCAGAGGATCTTTGCTGAAAGGAACTGACTCCTTAAGAAATGTTTATACAGTACGTGGATATTATCCAAAATGAAGTGCTGCTGAAGAATCTATTCTTCAGCATTGTTCTATCAATTCAAACAAGAGTTCCATACTGTGCGGAAACCTTGTCTGAATTGTGTAGCTGTTATGTGCCATAAAGTTATTGTTATTTATGGGAACCCTAGAAGCAAGTAAAGGATTTTTGCAGTTCATGGGCTTCATCCCTCTAAGCCAGTAGGAATTGCCCCAACCAGAACTTTTGGTGCTTAAATCAAGAAATGAAAGCCCTGACAAATGTTTTCAAGTTTCTAAACTAATAAATTCAGAACCTGACTGCCATTTTTGTCTTGTGGAGAAGACAGAAGGAAATAGATGGATGAGGCTAAGCTCTAAAGGATCTACAAGGGATTATAGGTCTGGTAGTCTATTTTGAGAGGTATCCTGTGGGCAGAGACAGCCACTCACAAATCCATAATGCTTTCCTACCTACCTATTTCTGCTGGCTTCTCCACAGGACTAAAATAGCTGTTGGAGTTCGAATTCATAAGCTTAAGAACTTGAAAACACGTGTGAAGACTTCCATTCTATGCAGTTTCATATTTATTAAAGAAACTAGCTTTCGGTGGTTTCTGTCTTCAGCCAGCCAAGTAATAATTTAATGATCCTTTAATATTTAAAAGTCACTTATTTCCAGGAACAGCATTTGTTCATGCTGGTTATAAGCTGCATCAGTTCTATTCATGCCACATTGTAAGATGCTATCCGTTGTGAATTGTCTAATTTCTCTAGTAAATTTGTGTGACTAAACATTTTGTTTTGAAATTGAGGTTAGGTTGGCTCTTTATACTCCTTGAATTGTGGTGAATTGTAGCTTTGTTGATTGCTTAATAATTTAGGCAATTTACTTTAATTGAAAGATTGATTTCATATGCAGCAGATATTTGCCAAGATGAACCATAAATTATGAGATCTCATAGCACAAGACAAATCTGGCATAGAATCTTCAAAATACAGCTAGTATTGAGCAAGAGGGCTATCTGGTGATTACATGTCCCTTTTACTAGAACGCTTTTTGCCAAAAATGTATCTGAACAGAGAGATATCCATGTATGTTACATTTCTTCCTTCAAATGTAGTACCGTATTTTTCGCTCCATAAGACGCACCGGACGTTAAGACGCACTTAATTTTTAAATACTGAAAATTAAAATAAAATAAAAATATATAAACAGAGCAAGTCCCACACTGGGACTGCCAAAAAAAAAAATCACCAAAAAACAAAGCAACATAGAAACATGCCCCCCAGCCCAAATTTACCCTCCAAAACCCACCCAGAACATTTTTTAAAAAGTCAAAAGAAGCAACTAATTTTTAAATACCAAAAAATGAAGTAAAAATAAATAAACAGAGCAAGTCCCATGCTGGGACTGCAAAAAAATCACCAAAACACAAAGCAACATAGAAACATACCCCCGCCCAAATCTACTCTCCAAAACCCACCCAGAACATTTTTTTTTTAAGTAAAAAGCAGCACCTTACCGGTCAAAAGCCTCCTGGAGGTCCTCAGAAGCCAGCGATGGTGGTGGTGGGGGACTGCCCACGGGGCCTGCTGAGGCCTCCGGAGGCCTGGGAAGCCAGCAATTGTGGCATGGAGGGGACAGTATTCGCTCCATAAGACGCATGCACTCCCCCCCCAGTTTTTTTGGGAGAAAAAGTGTGTCTTATGGTGCAAAAAATACGGTACTTTTTAAAAAAAAAGGTGGGGAAGACATCTGTCTTTATATAAAGTATAGATTTGGTTAAAAGTACCTTTCATTTCTCATTTCCCCCCACCTACTTTTATAAGTCTAAAGCTTTATGTTACAGATAGCAAACTTTATAGAGTGTGTTACCATATTTAAGATTCATGGCCAGTTAAGATTTGCTGAATTCTAAAAGATGTACAGTATATAGGAATTGTGACCCTGCAGCTGAGTAAGGGGAAAGGGAGTCAGAAGAATGTTTATAATGAAGTTTTGCAATCAGCTTTGTAGAACTGACATTCATAACCATCTTAATGTTTTGTCTGCATAATAATAGAAAAGGGTGTGTCTTTAAAGTGGCCATATCCTTAAATTAGAACTGAACAATGTAAGGCCTGATTTTTGTTGATTTAAACATAATATGCATAATTATACAGTTGTTTAAATAGCTCCTGGCATACCTTGTTTCTGCTTATATTTATTAATGACTATATAAAATTTGTGTTTAACTTATTGTGGCTTAGCAGTCATGAATCTACATTTTTGTCACTCATCTGTATCTCTTTTCTTTCAACCAGACATACCCATTGCCAGTATATACGTTGTTCACTCATTCTTTAAACACAGTGGCCACAATCCTATTTGTCAAGGCACATTGTTACTTTACAGCTGTGTAAATGTTCCAGGTATTAACCATGGCAACGAGTCTGTGTAAAATGATTGCGCAATTGCTCATATGGTTCCTGTTTTGACCAATTGTGCAACATGCTAGCAAGTGTTCTTTGTAAATAACACTTCTGCCTTGATGCGAATATGAGCTGTAATTGTATGTGCATAGCTACTCAGCAAGATTTTAGGTCATATATTGTTTGTCTGGATAGAAAAAGGTGAATCAAGAATTATGAGTTCACTCTAGTTAGAGGATACAGTAGTTTGGAGCCAGGCCATTTATTGGTTAAAATCAGCACTTTGAATTGTGCCTGGAAACTGATCAGCAGCCTTTCTAAGCTTTGGTAGTAAGTGCTATTAACTAACAAAACAGTTCATTGAACCTTGTTAGTGGAAGAGGTTAACAAATTAGTGTATAACTGGCTAATTAAACTATTTCCAAGCTCCTTATAGGAACATGCTTAAAGAAGGTCAGTAGTCACCTGTTAATTGTTAATTTACTGTCTTATCTCTCTCTCCAGTTTACTGTTAAGAGGAAGTATGCCATTGGTTTAAAACTGATTATTTCTTAACCTAGACTCAGCATTCCATATTGATTACAGATTGTTTTGAGATTATGAGAATGTTCTGTCTCTTGAGTTTTATGAATGTAGAAGTAAACTAAAGGTGGAATTAATGAAACTTTGCCCATTCAGTAAAATCTTTGTGGACATAGATTTTGTGGGATTTTGAACTATGTGCCTGAACTTAAATGACTTTATTACAAAGCTCAACCCAGTGGATTTGACCAAACACAGACTTAAAATCAACCTATAAATTGAAAGAAAAATCACAAAAATACAGAAATTCTGGGAGGCCTCTAGATACAAAGTTCTGAATAAATACAGACAATAGCCATCATCTTTGGCAAACTTCATAGTTTTGCTTAATTAAAAGGGTGCAACATGTGCATGTTGTCTGATAAAACATGCAGTTTCGCTTCCCCCAGCGCCATTATGGCAAATTTAGCAGACCAGAATGTTACAAGTAGTCAGTATAAATAGAATTTTACTTAGAGGAGAATTTTTGTGTCCAGATTTTTACTATGTGGAGTAATTTCTCCAATACAAGTATGAAATTGTTTGTTGTATCTTAAGAAATATGAATATAATGGACATTTCTAAACTGTATAAAACATAGCTCCATTTTATGTACAATGGTGCCCCGCATAACGGGCGCCCCGTTTAACGATGAATCCGCATAGCAATTAAGTTTTTGCGATCGCTGTTTCACTTACCGATTTTCGCATAGCGATGTTTTTAGAA